ATAATAATAATAATAATAATAATAATAAATTTATTTATTATCTCTCTACACAAAGGATAATTTACAGAAATAAGATACAATAATCAAATGCAAACAATGTACTCCTTTGTGAGAGACTGGAGTCCATACTAGGATTCCCTGTGTGACGGATCTCCAGGCTCCCACCTCGGACCAGTTACAGATTACAGATATCCATCATAAATTCGCAGAAGGACAAACCCCTCGATGTAGCAGATATGAGAAATAAAAGAAAAATAAACAAACTCAGAGACATACTGCATACTTGTTACAAAACAAAGAGAAGGAGATTAAGTAAACAAAATTTAACATTTTCAAAATTGCATGTTGCGTGTGGAGTAGTGTGTGTAGTGTGATGCGTGTGAAGTGTGTGTGTGATGCGTGCATGAAGTGTGTAGGTGAGGTAAGTGAGATAAGGGAGAAATCGTATACAAATAGAGGTTATTACGGTCTGAGTCTGGAAATACATTTTTATATTGAGTATGTAATATATGTATATTTTTCCCTTTTCTATATTAAGACGGTGTACTTAGTAACAGCTCCGTCGTGTTGTAGTCTAGCTTCTGTAACCACTTTGAAATTTTGATTTTACATTGGGTTTTAGGTAAAGAATAGATCGATAGAATTTCATTTATCTTATTATACAAATGGTTCCCGAGAAAACAATAATTACGATGTGAGAAGGCAGTGTGGAATTTAGTAGTCGGGTATACGTTGTGCTTGCGTCGTCGATTTTCAAACATGCTTGGATTAAAGGTAGTTTGGGAATGTTTACGAAGAATAACATTCAGCACGTATAGTTGGCGAACGGTTAGTACACCAACACGCTCATAAAGTTCCTTGGTTGGAAATAAGAATGGTAAGGAATTACCGACCTTGAGAACCGCTCTTTGCGCGCGTTCCACCCGTAGCATTGCCGTTTTTGCTGTTATAGAACAATAGGTTGCGGTCACCGGTGTCCGCTTGGTGTTTGACAGTTTAATTAACTAAATGGCATTAAGTTTGGCTTTATATTCCGTACTCTGAATGCCATTTTAACAGCTACGATAAGGGTTGTATAGTTTTGACTTTGATTAATTATTGATTTTTTATTGGATTTAAATTACATTGACATTAAGATTGGTTTCAAGAGCAATAACCATGGTTGCGCCACCTGATAGGTTGCGTTACCATGCCGATACCAGTTGAGTAACTCTCTATAGAGCTGTATATATTTTGAGTCCCGTGACCATGATGTCCAGGTAACATCAGCTCTAAGAGTCCCTTTGTGACTAGAAACTAGTAGAGCTTTTGAGTACACCGTTATATTCAATGAATTAATTGTATTCGTATCTTCAAAGATTTTTGCTATTGTGGCTCTGCTCAGGTCTTTATTTAAACTACATAATGTATGTTCAAGACAAACAAAAATATACCTGTAAAGAATCGCAAAATATAATGTGCCATGGTAACATCAAAGTAGGTTAAATAACTTAAATGAGAATAATAAGAAGATACATTTATTTACATACCTTTGAAGATTAGATATCGATTTGAAGGGAAAATCTGGCAACAATTTTCGCAGGTACTTTTCTGAATTAATTATTATGTTTTCGGCTTACTCATTGTATTAAATTTGTTGTCCTCAAGGTTATTTTCTTTTTCCGTCTCCTTGACCAAATATTGGTATTACATTGTTCTCACATTATTGAACTCAACGGAAGAATGTAACCAAAAATTGTATTGTGAACATGATTGAAAAAGAGTAACCTATGGAGTTTCTTGCTCGTTCTTCTCCATAGGAATCTACACTTTGGAACGAGCAAATAGCTTCACTAGAGGACTGACTTACAGACTGACACATTTTTTTTTCTTATTATTTAGTATTTAAATATTTTGTTTTGACGTTCAAAAGTGCCTTACTGGTCTAATTGAAATAAATGATTTTGACTTTGACTTTGACTTTGAGCTTATGCTAGAGAGGTGATTATCGCGCTACTGACGCAGCAACGCGACAGTCGCTGCGTTGCATATTGCGGAATGTTGCTCATGAATATGAGCCTCTAGCATGGCTTGAAACTAGTTAGTCGAATTCCTCGTCAAACAGTCTGTTACGTGAGTAAGCTAAAAACATAGTAATTTATTTAGTATGTCTCACGAGAGTTTTAGTAATTTTCTGATAAACGAATTCTGCAAATTAATAATTGATTAATCAAAATAAATTAATAATTAATATAAAACATAAAGTATTTTATTTTAATGACTAGACTAAACACTCGATCAATCGGTTTATTATTATTTTTTTACAAAATAATACTATTATTGCACTTATTTTATCTATCAACATTACTACATGTTGACTAGTTTTCTTATTAATATCGACTATTTAATATTATTTTACTAATACGTTTATTATTATTTTTATTCAAATGCCAAATAGTATTATTATTTATTTAATTTTAAATGACTGTGTGATTTTCAAGATTATACAATTTCAACCATGAATAAAGAAAAATCATTTTTAAATTAGGTACTTACATATTTATTTGTCTTTGTTAAGATATGAATTTAGAAAATTAGAACAAATTATTTCACAATAACCGTTACCTATGTCTTGACCATGAATTGAACAATTCTAAATAAAATATATAAGTAATATTAGAATACGCTCTCACTGCATCACCTAAAGGTTGGCTAGTAAGAATGCCTTGTACTTTTGTTACTAAAAGGTAAATAAATTAAAAAAAAAGTAATATTTATATGACTAAATTATAAAAAATAACAATAAATTAAAAACAAAATAGATTTACTGTTCTAGGCAGAGGCGGATTAAACCTAGTGAGCGCCCTAGGGAAGCACTTCATTGGCGCCCAACTTTTAGTCTCCGCCGCCACTCTATGACACGCGCGTCTTGCGGCGCCCTCTATAACCTGGCGCCTGGCACTTGCCTAATTTGCCTTAGGGATAATACGGCTCTGATTCAATGACATGTCGTATTATTAATTACTTATTCTTAATTAGTATTATTAAATAATAGTTCTACGTATTATTGGCAGAATAGTGTTGTGCGTAGTTCGTTTCGCCGACTATATCGATGTCACTGTCGCTGTGCTCCGTGTCCGAATCTGTCGATATTCTTGAGTTTTCCGCCTAAAAATAAAAAGATATATTTTGTACTATCCATACTGCCTCGTTAGCCGAGTGGTCGCAAGTGCGACTGCCGGGCAAGGGGTCTCGGTTCCATTCGAGGATCAGGCGAAATATTACTAGGTTTTTTTAACAAAAAATTCAGTAGTAGCACAGAGTCTGGAATTGTGTCCGATATATAGCAATAGGCTCACCCCCCAATAACATGGAACTCATAACATAAATAGTGAAAAGTGTATAATATTCCCCCGGAACCTCACTAATTATAAGTTTGAAATTGCTAACCCACATTGGCAGACGTGGTGATTAATGCTCAAACTTTCTCCGTGTGAGAAGAGGCCTTTGGTCAGCAGTGGACAATTATAGGCTGATGATGATGATGAGTTTATGAAATAACAATATAATAATTGAGTACTTTCCTTAATCAAAAATAAATTATACCGACTGTTCAATACAATAAAATATTAAAAAATAATCACACTTTCATTAATTGATTTTGTGACCAACTATATTTTAGTATTTTTCCAGCAAATTTTTAACAAATAAGAATGCTGTTTGACGCTAAAAAGACGTGACGTCACAATACACAATCTCGGACAAAATTCATAGAAAACTGTCGTTTTTGACAGTTCGAAAAAAAGTATTGAATTTGACTAGCTGGCAAGTACACAAATTGATAGGTAAGTAGGTACACTACAAGTTAATACTGTCCACTCACTTTTCTGCATTCTGAATGTGTTGACGCGTGTTTCGTGGTAAAGTCTACAGCCGTTGCCCCTGTGAACAAAAAGAATAAGGATGATGACAGGGTATGAAAATTAAAAAATCTAATTAGTCCGTAAGTTAGGTAGGTAATGAAAAAATATTAGACACGTATTGTTTTATTTTGTCGTATAAGAAAACAATATTTAGATAAAACGAATCAAAGTTTAGTAGTGGAGACTAAAACGTCATTTCTACGTATAAAATGTACATAGAAGTGACATCACGCGACATTTCAAATCAATATATCGTCGAAAGTATTCGTTTCTGTACTTATGGAAATAAAAAATACGTGTCTAATGATTTAAAATAATATACCAGACGGACATTAAAATAAAAATTAGGCATCTACCCGATTAGAGTAGATCCCTATTATAAAATTACACTTATTTTTTTACCGACTTCAAAAAGGTTTCTCAGTATGTATGTTCGTTTGTGCGCGATTATCTAGCGATTGGCTAAACCGATTTTGATGCGGTTTTCAAGTGCGTTACCGGCCTTTTGGGAATTGGGAATTTGAGGATTGTGGAACATTCGGGGATTTGGGAGACTAGAGGGTGGGGTAATTGGGCCGTTACCTCACTCACACGACGAAACACAACGCAAGCGTTGTTTCACGTCGGTTTTCTGTGAGGCCTGTTGTGGTCGAGTTTTTAAACGTAGTTTATAAAAGACTTATTTAAATTAACACAATAAACGCCATGCAGTCCAGGTGACGAAATTTAACGGAGGAATTGCCTTCAATCGTTTGCTATTGGCTGTCAAAGTTTTTGACAGTTCGAAAAAGGTATTGAATTTGACTAGTTGGCAAGTACCCAAATGTAAACGACGTATCAAGCGAAGCTGGCCGATGTCGCCCGACAAATTATAGGGCGACAACGCGCGCCTTATGTCCACAACGACGTTCATGTTGCCAGACATCTCGACCAAAGTCCGGCAACGTCGCGCTACTTCGCCCAACGTCGCTGGCGACACTTTCGCAGGACATTTGTCCTCTAGTGAATCTTTGGTTTTAAAAAGTTATTTTACAATCCAAGATGAATAGTTAAAAAGAATTCGTAAAAATCCACCCAGTCATATATTATGAGTTATTAATCACAATTGTAACTCATGCGACTCCGTCTTATGTACCCATAAAGTACCTACATAATATTACATTCTATGAATTTTCCCTTCAAATCCACCCCTACCTATAAATGACAGTCCACCATCTTGAAAAATACAACAATATAGAAACTTCGCAAAAATCATTATACCGAAGACGTTCCACGGCGAAGAAACGAAATCGAATTACACCCTACACGCAATTCCAACCTTTATCACCACGTATTTTGAACCATTTTCGCGTAGACATGATTACACCCCTCCCCCAAATACCATTAGCAACCGATTTTGAACCCAAAGCCTAAGTGGTAAGTTGCGAAATGGCTTGTCAACGATTCTAAGACGTTGGTTGCGTAGCAACGACTCCATATTGCTTATAATTAGATTTGAAAGCATCTTGAGTTGTGGCGCCGAAGAGGCATTATTAGATTGAAGTGTCTTGAGGTTTAAGAGGGCAATTTAGGAGGGAAAGAGGAAGACGGAGGATCTAAAATGGTCTATTTTCCAGGAATATTCTTATTCTGATCGAATCAGAAACAGCAGTACATTTCTAGTACTTTTTATTACACGGAAACGCAGACGATACCGCGGACATTTGATATAAATTCGGTAATTTCCTTAATCAAAAATAAATTATTGCGATAGTTCAATACAATAAAATATTAAAAAATAATCACACTTTCATTAATTGATTTTATGACCAATTTATTTTAGTATTTTTCCAGCAATTATTTTAACAAATAAGTATGCTGTTTGACGCTAAAAAAACGTGACGTCACAATACACAATCTCGTACAAAATTCATAGAAAACTGTCGTTTTTCACAGTTCGAAAATAGTATTGAATTTGACTAGTTGGCAAGTACTCAATTGTCATCAATACATAGTATAAAACAAAGTCGCTTTCGCTGTATGTCCGTATGTATGCTTAGATCTTTAAAACTACGCAACGGATTTTGATGCGGTTTTTTTTAATAGATAGAGTGATTCTTAAGGAAGGTTTATATGTATAATACATGCATATTGCACCCGTGCGAAGCCGGGGCGGGTCGCTAGTATTATTATAAGAGCCAACGACACAAACATAACGCCTTTAATTCATACAACAGGAGAATGGAATCAAATCAACGAATGGCTATAATTTGTCAAATGACAAATTAACGTATCAAACTCCATACTATCGACCTTTCTATTCGAATCATCATGATCATCATCATATCAGCCACAGAACGTCCACTGCTGAACATAGGCCTCCCCCAATGACTTCCAGATAGGCGGTTGGAAGCGACCTGCATCCAGCGGCTTCCTGCGACCTTAATCAGGTCGTCTGTCCACCTTGCGGATAGAAGTTCTAAGCTGCGGTTGCCCCTAAGCGTACGGCGCTTCGCGTTCCGCTCGCGCCTCAAAGAGCCATCAGACCACCACAGATGGGGCCCAATTAGGGCTATGCTGATATGGAGCCGCGGAGAACCTAACGGGTTACCGGGGCTCCGGCTCGACTCTAGTCAGTAAGAGTCTGACACTCCCTTCCGCCTCACGAGACGTCATTCGATGATTTTCCACCCTTAACAAAAAGAAAGATGCGCTTGTCGGTACGTGGCCTCCACAGGAGAACCTGTCTGCCCTAACGGCCGTCGGTTCTCCGCGCTATATGCCCTGCCCACTGCCACTTCAACTTGCTAATTCGCTGGGCTATGTCGGCGACCTTTGTTCGTTTGCGGATTTCCTCGCTTTTTATCCGATCTCGCAAAGAAATTCCGAGCATAGCCCTTTCCATAGCGCGCTGAGCGACCTTGAACTTCTTTATAAGGCCCACAGTGGGAGACCACGTTTCAGTTCCATAGTTCATCACTGGTAACACACACTGATTATAGACTTTCGTCTTGAGGCACTGAGGTATGTTGGACGAGAAGATGTTGCGTAGTTTCCCGAACGCTGCCCATCCAAGTTGGATTCGACGATTGACCTCTTTCTCGAAATTGGACCTTCCTAGCTGGATCACTATTCGATTATCGTTTAATTATTACGCCTTTTACAAAGAAGGCTAATAAGATCAATGCTAAGTCATCGTCAGAACTACAACTTTCGTTAAAATCGAGCTGCGGGAGCTGACAAGTCAACAACTCTTGAGGATGCTCCGTGGAGGAATGAAACATTATGTCGAGTGGTTTTTTGCCTGTTATGTATGTGTTTTCGTGACGCATCTCTGCTGTATGAGCATTTATCTAAGTTTTAAGACACCTGCTTTCCATGCATGAGGGTGTGGGTTCGAAACCTTCCAACGGCAAGTACCAATTTGACTTTTTCCGAGTTATATGTACTTTCTAAGATTATCTAGACACCACTGACAAACGGTGAAGGAAAACATCGTGAGGAGCTGGGCTTATAATTTCTAATTATAAGTTTGAAATCGCCAACCTGCGTGAGCACCTATGCGTTTAATGCTCAAACCTTCTGCGTGTGAGAAGAGGCATATAGCAGTGGGCACTTATAGGCTGTTGATATAGTACGACTTAATCCAACTTCAAGTATTATCTATGGTACATTACAATATGCAGCACAACTTAGAATACACTGCAACCATAGAGTTGGGAAACTGAACGCGGAATTCCGAAGTAATTATCGATAAAATTAAAGCAAGTTCGAAGCGACGCGGGACTACGACAAGAGGTATTTCTTGCAAAGTTCCCGAACTATGTTGTTGTGTGAACTATAAACTTGTATTGTTTGAAGTTTACTAATTTGATATGCAATAAGGATGGGAAGCGAGCATATCGATAGTTTATTAACGTAGTTAGACTTTGTTTAAAAAGAAAATATAACTACTGAACTGAAAAAGGCGCCCGCTTTTTCTGCATGAGAGTGTGGGTACTAAACGTACCAACGGCAAGTACCAATGTGACTTTTTCCGAGTTAAATGCACTATCTAAGATTATCTAGACACCACTGACAAACGGTGAAGGAAAATATCGTGAAGAAACCTAAGCTGGTTGGAATTTCAAATTATAAATTTGAATAAAACATGTTGGGCAAACGAAATAAACAATCAAAGAAATAAATAATACACATGCATCACCTAATTGCGAATTATGCAACACAATATATTATGCTGATGGAATATGCTAGCGTGAGTTGTGTTTCGTCGTATGAGCGGTTACCGGAGGCCCAATTACTTCCCCTCCCCAGTCTGCCCAATCCCCGAATCCTCCACAATTCTCAAATTCCCAAATAAAAGGCCGGTAACGCACTTGTAACGCCTCTGTTGTTCCAGGTGTCCATGGGCGACGCCGATTGCTTACCATCAGGTGATCCGTCTGCTCGTTTACCGGCTTATTCCTTAAAAAATAATAATAAAAGGTAATCATTAATAACAAAATTTCAGTTGAATAAACTAGATGTTGGACTAGTTCAAGGAGAATGATCACGAAGATTGCAAAAGGGTTGTGTGAACTGGTGAGGGTGACATATCTTTTCTGCGATCTAGACCTAGTTAATGATTGCCTTTCATTTACATAGAATATAGATATACTTATATGCTACTAGCGAACCGCCCCGGCTTCGCACGGGTGCTTTATGCATGTATTATACATATCAACCTTCCTTAAAGATCACTCTATCTATTAAAAAAACCGCATCAAAATCCGTTGCGTAGTTTTAAAGATCTAAGCATACATAGGGACAAACAAACGGCGGATAGCGACTTTGTTTTATACTATGTAGTGATAAAATTAGATAAGGTACGACGGGGTTGACGTATCCATATGTAGGTACAAAAACCCCTTAAAAACTATAATTAAAAAAAAATACACATAGAATTACTCGGAAAAGTATCTACAAGCAATTAAGATCTTAACTTTCAAGCCATAATGCCCTTTTAAAAAGTAATAATATTCCAAAATGGCCGACCTCTCTGTTGCTGTTGTTTCCTCATTTGTTTCTTGTGCTTCATCCGCCGGTTCTGGAACCAAGTCTTGACCTGTGTCTCCGACAGGTTCAGGGCTCCAGCCAGCTCCACGCGCTCAGGAGTTGACAGGTAACGCTGGGACTCGAAGCGTTTTTCCAGACCTAGGTGAAGGAAAATTTTATCAAAAACTTTGTATTTTTTTTATTGCATAAGCCGGTAAACGAGCAGACGTATCACCTGATGGTAAGCAATCGGCGTCGCCCATGGACACCTGGAACACCAGAGGCGTTACAAGTGCGTTACCGGCCTTTTGGGGATTGGGGATTGGGAATTTGAGGATTGTGGAGGGTTGGGATTCGGGAGACTAGGGACTCACTCGGCTCAGCCGTCGAGCCGGCCCATTCGTGCCAAAGCATGGCTCCACAACACTTAAAATATAGCTATAATAAAGCCGACTTGAACACTCTCCTTTTTGGAGTCGATTAATTAATACACTCAAACTCAAAATGAGAGCCCCTTATTGAAGTCGGTTTCAAACTAGGCGGACGAGGGATTTTTTATGGGATAAGGAGACACAGAAGCCCTAAGTGTGGGAGCGCCATGCTTCGGCAAGAATGGGCCGGCTCAACCGGAGTAATACCACAGCCGTCGGTAACCGTCGGGTCACTGGGGTTACCAGAGGCCCAATTAAACCGCTCCCCCCTTTCTCATTCCCTGAATCCCCAACAAACATCCAATTCCTAATCCTCAAAAGGCCCGTACCACACTTGTAACGTCTCTGGTGTTCCAGGTGTCCATGGGCGACGCCGATTGCTTACCATCAGGTGATCCGTATGCTCGTTTAACGGCTTATCCCATAAAAATAGCCATTAAGAACGCTTTTTTTTTTAAGGGGCGAAAATCATCCAATGATTTCTCCCGCCCGGATGAGGCGAGAGGGAGCGTCAGACTCTTATTGACTAAAAACCACCCCATTCCTACTCCTGCACTTCGAGTCTGAACCCCGGTAACCCGTTAAGTCTTCCGCGGCTCCGTGTCGGCATCAGCCCTATTAGGCCCCATCTGTGGTGGTTTGTTGGCTTTTTAAACTGTCAAACACCAAGCGGTCACCGGTGACCGCTACCTATTGTTCTATAATTGTGTCTACAAAACCGGTACTCGACGAGTTAAGGCGCCCGCGGAACGCTCGCCGCCATACGCTCGGGTCTGGTGTTCTGGTCGGGCGGCGAGTCACCCGTGCTCGCCGTCCGCAGGCCCGTGCTTACAACGCTACACCTACTTTCTGATAATAAACAATTCCTCTAAATATCTGAAGACTGATTACAAAAACAAAACGTAGGCCTATCTAGATGTCGCGGAGAACCTAACGGGTAACCGGGGCTCCGACTCGACGTGCAGGAGAAGGAACGGGGTGGTTTTTAGTCAGTAAGAGTCTGACACTCCCTCCCGCCTCACCCAGGCGGGAGCAGTCATTCGATGATTTTCCCCCCTTAAAAAAAGGCCTATCTAGATACACCTACCTAGGTATATTAATAATAATAGATAGATGTACATACATAGATATAAAGTAGTACGTAATATACATACGAACCGGTTAGCTGTGGGTCGGAGAACACGGTCCTTGCTTTCCGCCGGCGGCAGTGTTTGAGGGCGGACAGCGAGAGTTCGGACGGAGTGAACAACGCGTGATATGGGACTCCTGAAACAATACATGATGCATACATAAATATGACTATACTATATATTCGGAAAGGACATTGCTCTGCGTTCATACATTGTTAGCCCTGGAGCCAAGAGTATCGGATTAATATGTATTGTATTCCCTATCATTTGTAGACTCCTAGAAGATCTTGTTTTTATAGCGGACTAGCTGCAGAAAAGATATATTACAAAAAAAGTATCAAATTTTGAGGTTATACCTCTAATCTAACCATAACAACGAATATTTAATTGAACGAATGTTGAATGTTTGAATGATTGTATAGAAGTAAAGAAGTTTTGATTACTGTATAATAATTATTCTTACTACCTATTACGACGATTATCATTTATTACATTAGGCGAAGGCATTTGACATTAGTCGAAGATGGCGATCTAATGTTATTACTTAATCGCGTTAAATTCTAGTAAAAGTACATTTTGGAATATAGCTAGTCCGTGATACAGAAGTATTTGCAACTCATATAATAAAATAGGGGATTAATTATCGTATATTCTGATACTCTTTATTACACAGGGCTATTTTGGACATTGTCCTTTGTAATACAGATATTTTACGCCTAAAACAGACTCCATAAATTAGATAATAAATAAATTGTAAAACCTAGAATAGGTAAGTGTAATTTTGAGGAAAAATAAAGAAGTCACATAAATACATTTTTTTTATTTATTTTTTACTAGCTTTTACCCGCGGCTTCGCTCGCGTCACAAAAGGATAAAATGTGACATACACCAATACACACAGCGCCATCTATACCAATACTTTTGTTTTCCCTCGGGAATTTCATTTTTTCCGGGATAAAAAGTACCCTATTATTTAATCCGGACTTCGAACTTTACGTTTACAAAAATTCAAAGCAATCGGTTTAGTAGTTACGGCGTGAAAGCGGAACAAACAAACAAACTCACTTTCCGATTTATAATATTAGTAAGGATGGTATAAGCTGGTAAACGAGCAGACGGATCACCTAATTGTAAGCAATCGGCGTTACCCATGGACACCTGGAATGGATAGCCACACCTGAATAAGAGTTTGAGGATGGTTGGGCATTCGGAGATTGAGGAGATTGGGGATGGGGGGGGTGGGTAATTGGGCCTCCGGTAACCTCATCCACACGACGAAACAACGCAAGCGTTGTTTCACGTCGGTTTTCTGTGAGGCCGTGGTATCACTCCGGTCGAGCCGGCCCATTCGTGCCGAAGCATGGCTCTCCCACACTTGAACTTTTACACCACGACGGAGGCAAGAAAAGCACACGGCCCACCTCATCGTAAGCGGTTACCGTGGCTTTCTTGAAGAACCCCATATTGTAGCCCACTGGGAAAACCTTGGCAGGGAGTACATTCCATAATCCGAGGGTCCGTGGGAGGAAATTCCTCATACTTGTCTCTCATGGGGGTAGGCAGTGACTATGGAACGCCAATTACTTACGACTCTTACATACATTTTTCGCTACCTCATCAGTCATCAGTCTCTGTTCATGCACGATCGTCACTTAAGAATATTTTTAATTTTGGCCCTTCTTTAATATATCGCCAATCTGGTCAGTATATGTCCGTCTACGGCGCCTTCTACCGACGGCCCCGTTCATATCCGCTCTGTATACTTCTTTCGTTACCCTTTCTACATGTCCACTACATCATCTTTCAATCCACACCTTTCTCTAATAAGTCATGTTTCACTCGATCATTCAATTTTAGTCCACACATACTTCTCAGAGCTCTCATTGCCACCGCATTAATCCTGCTTTCATGCTTCTTCTGCCACACCCATGGTTCACTACCATACATAAGCGTTGGTACCATATACACTACATTACAGCCACAACACATACGTACAACAACATAATGATAATAACAAGTTCTACAATAACAGGGGACTGTCCTTGGGTGTTCTTTCAATTGTAACATTTTGTTTTATTTGTTGAAGATCAACGGCTTTTAAAAATACCCTGGTCCCTTTTTGTGAGGCGAAAAATCATCCACTGACTTCTCTCGCTTTGGGTAGTGTCAGACCCTTACTAACTAAAAACCGCCCCGTTCTTACTCCTCAAGCGGGAGCCCCGGCAATCCTTTAGGCCATCCGCGGCTCTATAACCCTTAGTAAAACTTAATTTGCTCGTTTCTATGGTGATAAACGAGCAAGAAACTCCATGGCTACTCCCTTTCAATAAGATTCACAACAAAAACAAAAGAAAATCAAGAATTCCACAGAATTTTTAATTATGACAACCGGGACCGGCTTAAGCCGTCGGTCCCGGCTTGCTTCCCTTCTGAGGCATGGAGCACAAGTCGTGTTAGTTACACTATTTATAAATCAAGAACGGTTCAATTGATTCGGCAGAATATTGGCGGGGATGTAGCTTAGAACCAGGAGACGAACATAGGATACTTTTAACCCAGTTATCAAGTATCAACAGAATATAAATGGCCACTGCTGAGCAAAGCCTCTTCTCACAAACCGGACATCGTAGTACAATAAATGCATCACATGTAATCAACAGCCTATAAGTGCCCAAAGGCTTCTTCTCACACGGAGAAGGTTTGAGCATTAATCACCACCACTTGCTCAATGCGGGTTGGTGATTACAAACTTATAATTAGAAATTATTCAGCCCAGGTTTACCCCGATGTTATCCTTCACCGTTTGTCAGTTTTGTCTAGATAATCTTAGAAAGTGCATATAACTCTGAAAAAGTCGCATTGGTACTTGCTGTTAGTAGGTTTCGAACCCACACCCACATGTATGAGAAGCGGGTGTCTTGAACCTCTGTGCCACCTCGACGGTCATCCAAGCATTTGCCGAAAATGGTAGAATAACGGGAAAAAACGGAATTGTACTTACGAAGTGGCAGCAGACCCTAGTAAATAATGAATTCAAAGATTCATTCGCTTAAAACAAAACACCGTCTTAGCATCAATGTCTCTCAATCATGGCTTTTAAAAAAATTAATTGAGTTTTTAAAAAGATGAGCAATCACTTTGGTGTTGCAGACGGGTATATTAAAGTTTACACATTTATAACATGGCATCACGCCTTTTATCCCCGAAGGGGTAGGCATAGGTGCACATTATGCCACTGTACAATGTAACACTCACTTTTCACTATTTATGTTATGAGTCCCATGTAATATGGGGTGAGCCTATTGCCATATACCGAACACAATTCCAGCCTCGTACTACTACTGAGTATTTTTAAAAAACCAGTGATAAATAAATCAATTAATCAACCCACCCATAAATAGTAAATCGTGGGTTGTACTTACATTGTACAGTGGCATAATGTGCACCTCTGCCTATCCCTTCGGGGATAAAAGGCGTGATGGTATGTTACGTTATTAAAAAATAGCTAAGAAGTAAATTGGAAATTACCTTGAGACAGAAAATATGGCGCCTCCACAGCCTTATACGTATTTGGTGTGTGTAAATATGCCCCTAAAGCCCCCATAGCCACTTGTAAATAAGAACCTTCTCTGCTTGGCACCTGAGGTCTCATCTCATTAGGTACGGGAAAAAAAGGTTTAGGGTCTCGATCATAATCAAACCGTCTCTGGTCGGGGGTCTTAAAGTTTCTACTTTCATGGCTCCGGTATAAAATATCTTCGATTAGAAAAGACGTTTTCGATGTATGTTCCTGTCGACTGGTTTCTGTGGGCGAATCACTGCGGGTTTCCGGATCCATGTTTTTTTGGTGATGTTATTTGCTTTTAATGCGCATGGGTGGGGCTTTTTTACACTTTTTTTTAAGTTTACACACTTACGTTTTGGCTGTTGGATTTTTTATTGTTCGTGTTTTATTTTGTTTTGAGTTTTTCACTGCAAACTGTATTTTTTAAATATTATTTGATCGTTTATTTTACTGATTACGAAGTTCTTAGTTAGGTAATATCTTTCGTTCTCTGTTCCTAAACGTCGTACCTTGATGTTATCTTTATATTTTTACTAGCGACCCGCCCCAGCTTCGCACTGTTGCAATATGCATGTATTATACATATAAACCTTCCTTAACTCGTCGAGTACCGGTTTTGTAGACACAATTATAGAACAATAGGTTGCGGTCACCGGTGACCGCTTGGTGTTTGACAGTTTAAGAATCACGCTAACTATTAAAAAAACCGCATCAAGATCCGTTGCGTAGTTTCAAAGATTTAAGCATACATAGGGACATAGGGACAGAGAAAGCGACTTTGTTTTATACTATGTAGTGATGAGATTAGCCGGTGAACGAGCAGACGGGTCACCTGATGGTAAGCAATCGGCGTCGCCCATGGACATATGAATAACCAGAGGCGTTACAAGTGCGTTACCGGCCTTTTGGGGATTATGAAGTTGAGGATTGTTGGGAAGATTGGGGCGTTATTTTCTTATGAAAATGCTATTAAATGAATGTCAAATTATTTCTCTCAAATAAGTATATCCCGTTGAAATACCGAAATAAAAATGGGCTGAAGAGTTAGTTTTCCAATGGTAAAAGTTCTTTGCAGTCGGTCTAATACCTTCAGAATGTATTCTAAAATGTTACAATGCTAACAATCAAGGATGTCTTTAAGGCCCGAGTGAATAGGTTGCTTATGGGACGACGTGCTCCATCGTAGACCGCATCATTAACATATATAATGGTACATATCTATCTAAAAATCTATATATATATATATAGATATAAAAATGAAACCCGTTTTCCGTTGTCACGACATAGCATGACCTAAAACGGCTTGACCGATTTGGCTGATTTTTTTTTTTTGTTGTATTTGTTATTATTAGGAGAATGGTCTTAAGACAGAAACAATCCTGATAATCCTACGGGAACGGGAGGAAACGGGATTGCGCGTACGAAGTCGCGGGCAGAAGCTAGTATATAGATAACAGACCACCACAGATGGGGCCCAATACGGCCGATGCCGATTCGGAGTCGCGGAGAACCTAACGGGTAACCGGGGCTCCGGCTCGACGTGCAGGAGAAGGAACGGGGTGGTTTTTAGTCAGTAAGAGTCTGACACTCCCTCCCGCCTCACCCAGGCGGGAGCAGGCATTCGATGATTTTCCCCCCTTAAAAAAAAAAGTATATAGATAAACTAGTAATTATCATACTTTTTATATTCTTTTGTTACATAAATGTCTGTGTGTGTTTGAGTTCCTTATGTTGTAAATAACACGACTATGGTTTTTGATGTTTTATAATAGTTATAATAAATTTGTAAGCAAATATAACTACACTAGCTACTTCAGCGCGGTTTCACACGCTCTACTCAACTCCTATTGGCCGTAGCGTGATGTTTTATAGCCTACAGCCATCCTCGATAAATGCGCTATCCAACACAAAAAGAATTATTCAAATCAGACTTGTAGTTACGGAGATTAGCGCGTTCGAACAAACAAACAAGAAAACAAACTCTTCCGCTTTATATAATAGTATAAGATAAGAAGTATAAGATGAATACTGTTTAAATACTATGTAAATATTACAAAACCGTTTTTTTTAGCTTAACCCTTTTATATGTTTGTTTGGGTCAAATTTAGTAATTGAAATTTCACCACCTTCCCGACGACTGATTGATCTGATATTTGGTACACACTCTTAATCTTGATGACCATACAATATTATCTAATGTTTCCACAACTACCGCCATTATGGATATCAAACGTAAAGGATTGATTGGTAGAATAGAGCTCACTAAAACAGTTAAACAAAAAGTATTTTTTTTATGTATTAAGGACTTCGTTTTCTTATAAAATCAAGGTATGGACATTAAGAAACAGAGCACGAATATATATATTGAATTTAAATAAGAAAAAAAAATATTTCCATAGATTTTTCCGTCACAATTTTTAAACACTGATAATTCACTTTTAATTTATTTGACACTATCGAATTCACAATATTCGTTGACAATTTACGTAGGTACTTTAAATCAGTAGGTATTTTATCGTACCTACAATATTTTTTTAATAATTACCACTTCAAATTTTCCAATCTACCGATAAATAAAAATCACACAACACACTAGTAAAAAACGTAAAAATCCAAAACCCGATTTCAAATCTGGATAATCGCGACAATCGGATAACCGAACCGATTTTTCCGATTACGATAATCGTTGACAATTATTCGAGTAATCGGTCGCTTTGTGCTGTATGCCAGAAACAGCCCGAATGGGGCAAAACGCAGCGATAAACTGTCGTTAGTCAGGTGGGGGTTGGAATGGAGAGGGGGATGGGATGAGCCCGCCAAGGGTGGTGTTCCTTAATGGTGGGGGGTGAAACACTTTGTATTTTTTTCAACACAGTCCTCGCTTTTATTGGTCGGTTTAGATACCGATTTTTATGTTCGCAATCGAGTTGTGGTTTTTTAATATTTAATATTTTTAATGATTTAATTGAATTTGTGATTTTATTGTTTGGCGAAGTTTTTCTATTGTGTTTTGTCTATGGAGAGATGTTGTTTCATTTTGTGTATTGTAATTTATAAATACATATATATATTACTTTTTTAAAAGTAATGAATGTAGTTTCTTACTCGTTCTTCTCCATTCGAATCTACATTTTGGATTGAGCACCTAGCTTCACCTAGCTTCACTGACGGACTGACTGGCAGACTTTTATTTATTTTGTATTTGTTGACGTTTCAAATGTACCAAACAAACAAACATAAACATAACATCATTTATTCCCGAAGGGGTAGGCAGAAGTGCACATTATGCTACTGTACAATGTAACACCCACTTTTCACTATTTATGTTATGGGTCCTATGTACTAGGGGGTGAGTCTATTGCCATATATACCGGGCACAATTCCAGACTCCATGCTACTACTGCAATTTTTTTTAATAACTCTGTAATTTTTTGCCGGCCCCGGGAATCGAACCCGAGACCCCTTGCCCGGCAGTCGCACTTGCGACCACTCGGCCATCGAGGCTTTTAAATTGTACGTACGATTTAACTCGTCGAGTACCGTCATTATAGACACAATTATAGAACAATAGGTTGCGGTCACCGGTGACCGCTTGGTGTTTGACAGTTTAATGCAATATGTTCCAAATAGGAATCGTAGCAATTAGCTCAAACTGTTGTGGTTCTTTCCTCAAAAGCCCACTACAGAAAGAACTGGCACGGTTCTCACACATAATCTGTTATACAGATTGTCTGGACTTTAAAAGAAACAGACCTCTGAGTTTGTTTCGGCATTTCTTCTCAGAGTAGTCAGTTAGGAAATGTCGACCTCATCGTTCGCTTGATAAAATTGACGTGTAAAAGTGCTGCCTTGTAGCCTATTTGCAGAAATAAATTCACTTGTTTCACTTATTGGCGTTCCAGTCTCTGCTTGTCCATGGGAGACAGGCTTGAAGTTATGTATATTCTAAGTATATGAGCGTTAACTCTGCCCACCCCTGGATATATAAACATTAAGCCTGTTTCGGTAAATAGGAGCGGAATTTTGTATCAAATCGAGAGATTTCGCTACAAATTGATGTAAGAATGTCTGTCATAAGCGTGGTGTACACTGTACTTTATTATTTATTATTGTCGCGTCAGTGGGATATGGCCTGTGACCTGGTGATCTGTGATACAGGTTTCACCTACAATAGACATCAGTCTCAGGTTTATTTGTAAAACGTTTGCTGTATTTTATTATGTAAATGATGATGAGAGAAATGAATAAAATATTATCTTTTTATATATGACTAGCTTTTACCCGCGGTTTCGCTCGCGTCACAAAAGGATAAAATGTAGCCTATGTGACATATACCTATACATACAGCGCCATCTATACCAATACTTTTGTTTTCCCTCGGGAATAGCAAATTTTTACGGGATAAAAAGTACTCTATTATTTAATCCAGACTTCTAACTTTACGTCTGCAAAAATTCAAAGCATTCGGTTTAGTAGTTACGGCGTGAAAGCGGAACAAACAAACAAACAAACTCACTTTCAGATTTATAATATTAGTAAGGATAGTAAGGATTTTTCTGTGAGTGTGTATGTCAAACGACTGGACCTTTTGATGAAATTTTTTATGTGTGTTCAAGGGGATCTGGGTAAGGTTTAGATTCACAAACCAGCCCGGCAGATGGCGCTGCAGTCGATGTTTAGGTTATTTATCTTAAACATCTGAACCAATTTGAATGATTTTTTGTTTATACATTCAAGTGGATATGCAGGACAAAGTCTGTTGGGTCCATTACATAATTTAAATACTACTTATAAAATAAAAAATCATGTTTAAAAATATATAAAATAGGAGCCGACCAGTAGCGGGAGCATGGTCCAAGCTACCGGTGGTTAGGGCTCCAGAGACAGAAACCTCCTCACAACACGTGCCGTTTCTAGGAGAACTGCCTTCTGTATCAGGCCCTTGATCCATCCACATAACGCCAGCCTCCTAAGATGGATGTCGAGGCTTTTAGGTATTAACACATTGGCCGACACGACTATCGGCACAATGATAGCCGAATCCACACTCCACTTGTCGACAACCTCGTGTCCACATGTCGACAAGTCTAGATATTTTATATTATTATTTTCGGTTCCTTTTTCTAAGCTCGGCTACAGTGCCGGATTTGAGGGCTAGTACGGGCCGAAGCCAAGTGCTAGACCCACATATTAGTATTATTCCACGTATTATTATTATTATATTATTATAATTTCATGAAGAGGTAAAGAAAACAACAATAGTTTTCAATTTC